TCCAGGCCATAGTACTGCGAAGTTCCACAGACCTTGTGTGCGTGTGTGTTTGTCTGCTATATGTTGGGGTATTCACGTGGGAAGACAGATATACAGACGACATGAAGAACAAATAGGCAGGGATTGCACACGAAGAGCTCAAAACAGACAGAATCGGGTAGATCTTTGGGGGGAGGGGGGTACCATACACATACATATATATATAAATATAGATTCAGGATGGACAACCTAAGATTTTCCAGGAATTGAGGGCTGCATTTTGAACAAAGGCCCCGGAAGACAGCGAAGATTGGGGCCTGAACAACTAGAATAGGATTTGGGGTAGGGCATAGCAGAATCATAATCAAGAACCTTCTTCGGGCTCTCCCTTCATCTTCGAAGTTCAGTAGTGGGTTTTAGTGGTGGCATCCCTTCCAGCGACAGGAGCACAAAGCGGTCGGGTCCTCAGCACACCAGGGCTCGCGATTTTTTTTGAGAATGTGGCTTTGTTTGAAGCGTTATGGAGCCATTGCACGGCCTAACACTCACGGGTCAGACGCTTCCAAACTCCGTTAACTTGGTCTTTTTCAAAGTGTTTTGGAGTCTTTGGGTACGGCAGGTGGAGAGTGTGTTGGGCACCCGAAAAGCCAGGTTCAGCTAGGTCTTAAACCTTAAATTTTAGGAGTCCTGATGACAAGAATCCTTCTGTTTAGGTTTCTGCATTGTTGTGGGTTCCGGTTCTCCTAGTCTTCCATCTAAAGTGTAAACTCTAAACAAAGCTTAAAGCCTAACCCCGCGCACACTCTCATCCTTGAACTTTGAACCCTGTAAGCTTATGGGCCGTGTAAGCCTTAGAACAGATTGCGAAGTCCGATATGCCCAATAAGCCCTATGAACCCTGCAAAGCCTATAAACCCCATAAACCCTATAGCCCTGTAAGCCCTGTAAGCGCTGTATGCCCTGTAAGCTAGAAGCCCGAACTTTGTCGCAAGGCTCGACAGCGGTTCGAGGACGTGCATGAAGCCTACCAAGAAACATGGCTGGATTTGACTGGGTCAACGGTTTAACATGGGACTCATGGGACTGCCTATAGTCAGACCCCCTTTTTCTGAACCTGTTCTGTATCAATTCAGAAACATAGAATTTGAGGTTTTCGGGGTAGGAGGCAGGGCAGGTGGGATTCCTTAGCACCGGGTCCTTCAGCGTGCATGCACCCCGGAATGACCCCATCAGGGTCACTTCAACCAATCCAAAAACCCCCGAAGCCCTGTCTACCTCAACCTGCTCCTGGCCTATTAAAGCCTTCTACTCGCGTCGTGTTCTAAAAAGCTTTTACATGGTATGTGTAAGGACCTTGAGGTGATAGTAGACTTGCAAGGTAAACCCTAAAGCCGTGAACCTTCAAACCGTAAATAAATCCTCAAAGCCCAAAGTTCCAAACTACAGGCTCGTGGCTTCGACCCCGGGCGGCCCTGCTCGAATGACTTCGAGCAGCGCATGCGGCTCCAGACACTCACCGGTCACCAGCAGTTGCTTTGGGTGTAGATTCACGGATTAAGGCTTGTGGGACTTCGAGCTACATGCAGACGGAACACCCAAGTAGCCCAGCGTGTTCAAGGACAGTTGCCTACGCCTAATAAGGGGACCTCGTTTGGGTTCCAAGCCGCGGTAGGGCGGGGAACTTATTGAAACAAGCCGGCCGTGGCAATGTGTGGGGTGGGTAAGTGGGTGGGTATACATCACTCTCTCAAGATTTGCGGGCTCCTGGGTGTAGGGCTTAATCTTCTACTTCAAAGCAGAGGCACCCCTTTCATGGGACTACATCGCAGCGAGCTGCATTCTGATAGTTTTGCTGCCCCGTGAACACGTAAGTCCAAAGCCCTCTGGCCTCAATCCTTGACCGATCCGAGGTGGAGCGCAGTGCTCCCCGCCAGACCGTCCGCAGGGTAGGAGACCCATAGCTTGGTAACCGCATAGATTTCAATTTCTTATTCAGGGCAAATTCTTAGTGTTCGCCAGGCACGGGACGGGCAGCAGGTGTGCCAGGCAGTGGTGGTGCAGTGCACGTTTTCGGTGTGAATGGGAGTGGGAGTGGTTGTGGTCGCGCTGGTTGTGGTTGTGGTCGTGGTGGTAGTGGTAGTTGTAGTGGTAGTCGTAGTCGTAGCGGTAGTGGTAGTGGTTGTGGTAGAGGCGGTGGCAGTGGTGGGGCAGTGGTAGTGGGGGTGGTGGTGCCAGTGGTAGTGGTAGTGTCAGTGGTCGTGGGGTCGGGTGAGTGGTAGTGGTAGTCGCAATGGCAGTGGTAGCAGGCAGTGAGGGAAGGAGGCGGGTGGTTGTGGTGAGGCGGGTGGTTGTAGTGGTAGTGGAAGCGGTTGTAGGAGCAGCAGAAGTAGTATAGGAGCAGCAGCAGGACGAGGAGTTCGTGGTCGATGTAGGTGGGGCGGGGGTGGGCGGGATGGGGGG